CCCCTCACCACCACCACCCCAATCTATAGGGTTGGGAAGGGAAAGTGATCTCCATGAGTTACACCAAGGTATGGTGGGAGCTGAGTCTTCTGGTTTGTCTGTCCTTCCCTGTGGGATTGGTACCAAAGTCGGCGAATTTCTCCAGCGTCTGTTGCATGCGATTTTGCAGTGAGACCCTAAGTTGGTACATGGAGAGTTGCCACACGAAAACCCCTACATGGAAAAAAGGAGAAAGAGGCTAATGCAAAGCAGAGAGATCTGTGAATTCCTAATAGACCAAGTTATGATTCTGGACTGGCAAAATTGGGGGACTTTGAATTAAATCAGAGTGGGGGCGTACCCTCCAACATTTCACAGATGAAAACTAGTACAAATGTGCCCATGCAACATCAGAGTTTGTTCAAGGTGACAAAAGTTATTAATGGGGAAGAATACACAAGCTAAGAGGAGCTGTAGCACTGCTTTTACCTGAGACTACTGGGAAGGGCAAGATTCTGCTCTCTCCTTACCTCTAACCTCACTAAGTCATCTGAATGCAAACCTGGATTATAAATTCTCCCCACATATGTCTCAATGACTTCTAAGGATGCTGGGTGCTGTTTCTCTTCAGTTTTCTTTTTGCCTCCCCCCCCCCAGGATATTTTAGGCAAGGATTTTTACAAATAAAAGTGCCCCATTCCCCTAGTATTTGGGGGCACTTTTATTTATAAAAATAATAATGAGACTGAGATAGGACTGGAATTGCTAATTAAACTGTAATCAATGTTTCTCAATTTGTACCTAGCCATGTAAGTTAACATACCTATCCAAATTGCATGCAGATATGCATTTTCTCTCTTCTTGAAGTTTAAATGGTCTTTTTATATAGGCCTATTTGATACATACCTGGGCTACTTACATGCTGCATAACTGGGCCACCTTATATGGATGTTTATATGTATTTGACTCAATGGGTCTATCAATTATCTTGATCCAGGTTGGGGTCATTTTGGAATAAGACACGAGTACAGCGGATCAAAACTTCAAGGTTTAGGATACCTCCTGCTTCCCTACAAACTGGCAGCTTCCACATATGTTGACCTACAATCCCCCACCCCCATTTTCAGTTTGGTTTGATGGAGATGATGGGATCTGTAGTTCAAGACATCTGATGAGTTCCACATTTAGGAGAATAGCCTAAATCTCTCTCTGTGTTAATACCTTTATGATATCCACATGGAAGCTTAGTGTATGAAGGCAAGAGGTGCCAATCTCATCTGTATACCCAATATCCACCATCTTCCACATCATACCTTTCCATGTGCTGTTGTTTATTTCTCGCAAACGACTGATAATATCCGATTTAAGAGCCATCACTCCACGTACATCTGGAAGGAGACATTCACAGCTTTAATTCTACAATTGCGATACTAAGCCAGAGCCTGGGAAAATTATTGTTAGACTGCAAGCTCCCAGAATCCCCCAGTAAGCATGGCCACCCGCTGCTCTGGCAGCAAGATTCTGGGAGATGTAGTCCCCAAAGGTAACTTTGCCAGTCTCTGGGTACTTTTCCTTCACTTTTCCAACCCCACTAATGCTTTTCTGCCCCGGTCGCACCGAGCACTCTTTCGTATTTCTTTCGGAGGAAAGTGCCATGCAGATCAGCCAGGGCCTGGACATGTCGTTCAATAAGGGCATAACGGTTGGGTACATCTTCTGGCAACGTTTCCTTCATTAGGGTTGCCACAGAATCCAAGAAACGGCCGTCACATTGAAGGCAACCAGCTGTTGTCTTGAGGGATAACAGAAACAGGGAGAACACGGACAGGAACTGAGGCATCATGGCAGCGGTTGTGTTGTGAGGGCCAAATATCGTATCCGACGCAACTTTCCTTCTGAAGCAAGGATCTGCCTGAAAGACAACTACTTCCATCGCACAGGGCAATGTTGCCAAGGAGAGACAGTGTCTAGGCAAAGGTTGTTGGCGTGAGTCTCTATGATGCTAGATATAGAACAGGATATGATGTCAGTAGCCCAGTTGAGAAGCTAGAAGAAGAACGTTGAGCTGACCTCTAGCTTTGTTTTCTGGCTTTCATGGCTAAAACGTCTCTGTTAGGATTCCTGGCCTGGGCTCTGCCTATCCAGGTGGCTGGCACTTGCCTCCGCTGCTGGCCAGATGCTGTTGCGTTCTTTGGCTATGATGCATATCTGCTGCTTGGTCGGGATTCGGACGCCACTCGAAGACTGGTGAAAATTTTCCTGGAGGACCGTGTCTCCAGTGGCAGAAGATATTTGGGTATAAAATAGGGATAGACCAAGCTGGTGTGGTGCAGTGGTGTGACTCTTGGACTGTGACTCTGGAGACCAGGGTTCGATTCCCAGCTCAGCCATGGAACCCACTAGGTGACCTTGGGCAAGTCACACACTCTCAGCCTCATGGGGAGGCAATGGCAAACCTCCTCTGAACTAATTTTGCCAAGAAAACTGCATTATAGGTTCGCCTTAGGGTTGCCATAAGCTGGAAATAACTTTTTTTTTTACAATTATCTTTATTTAGCTATCTTTTCCACCAGTTTTTACATTTACACTTTCACTTATCATATCACTATCCTTATATATTCTAACACATAGTCTTCTCCTAGTTCATGCCTTCTTTTCTGTATGTTGTTTCCTTCTTTGCCTTCTTATGAGTACAGTTTTCTGTATGATATTTCTTTCTTTGTCTTCTTGCTTCTTCTCCCATTTCCTCCATTTCTTCCCTCCTTTTTTCCTTTCTACCTCTTCTTTTCCTATGTCTTTAACAGTTTAATCATTATATTTTTACCTTATATTTATATATATAAAAACCAACTTCCCAAAAAAGAAAGAAAAAAAACACTCTTTCTTTCCTTTTCTGTATTATTATTACAAATACCAAACTTATCTTTGTGCCTTTGTATCTTTTGTATCTTTTACTCACTCTCCTTAATCTTGCTATCTTATTTCTTTTAAAAAAAATTCTTATCTTTCTTTCTTGGTTCTTGAATCCCTACTGTTCTCATCTACTTTTTAGTCATTTAACCATAGTCTTTTTACAAATTTTCTCTTAACCTTTTCCACTTCTCTTCCTTCCATACCTTTTCCTTCCTTTTTTGTGTGTCCATCTCTTTTACACAGCTCTTGTATCCCTTCTCTCTTCCTAATCCATCTTACTCCCTACCTTTACCTCTTCTTACCCATCACACCTCTACTCTTAATATGTACTTCCCTTGATATCCTTCTTCCAAACCTTTTCTACCTCCTCATACCCTAAGTTGGAAACAACTTGAAGGCACACAATTTACAGAGAGACAACTATCTGAGCCTACGGGGTCCACACTGGCCCTTCATGAGACCTTGGAGTGATGGAAACATACCCTGCATAAAAACCCACAATTTCCAATCCCCAATGCCATTTCTTCAATGATTTTGATTTCCCTTCTCAATTCTTTGTTCCCCAAATGTCTTCTGTGGCATTTTTGTCTTTCTTTGTTAGCCAAGAGGACCCAGAAATGTGATGAAAATGCCCCCGTTGGAGTGATTTTGGGCCAAAAAAATAACATAGGGGGCCTGAAGTGGCATGCAGTTCACAGGCTGCACTTTGTCCACCCCAGGATAGATATAAAGAAGATAAAAGCCAAACAAACTTCCCTTCAGATGTTAGCAAGAGCAGTCCTGGTGACCTTGCCTCCAATGGTAGAAGTAAAGGAAGATTAAGGGTCAAGCAATTTTCCATGAGATGTTAGGAAGTTTTTATGACTGCCTCTGTTTCAAAGCCCTAAAGTACATATAACCACACACCTACCGCCTCCATTCCCCACATCCTTTTTTGAAAATGGTTACTATGTGCCTTCAAGTCATTTCCAACACTCCTACTTTGATTGTCACAATTTGCATCACAACCAAATTTGTCATTTTTAAAAACTTGCCTTCTGGTTAGGGGAAAAATACTTTGGAATACTGCAGAAAAGAAGGGAGGAAACCTGTGAAACCTGACATCATTGGCAAAGCACAGGAAATTTGTTAACATTGGATATTTGTGTTACCTTTAAAATGCAACCATAACAATAACTGGTGGGTGGTGGGTTGTAACTAACTACCTTCAGCAGTAACTTTCCAAATTCTGAAACAGATCATCCTTCCTGGATCTGCTGGTTGGATTGTACTACAACTTGTCTGAAAAGGACAAGCCAACTGTCAAATTATTCCTAGTGTTTTCTGCAGTATGGGATGCTATGCTCAGAAGAGAGGATTAGCCCAGGCTTCACCTTTTTTGTTATCTGCCTTTATTTCTGCAGAACGTGACCATATGGAGCGTGAAGCTGGGAATCTTTTTCTTCGCCTTGAAAATATTATTCACTCAAGTGGGAAAGGTAGGAGCTGATCTGTCCCTTCCCTTCCAGACTTGCCTGCAGTGAAAATATTATGAGGTGGTAGCTGAGCTTGCTATCAAAGTACCTCCTAGCACCAATAATATTTCAGAAATATTTGTCAAATTACATCTTTTCCAGGAAATGTATGTTTACAATTTTGTAACTGCCTTGTTCAAATTATACAAAAAAGGACAAGTATAAAATCCCTGCAAACTGTTATGGTTTTCTTGGAAATAGGAACAATTTTGCCCACGTTAAGCAATGCTATTCAGACTTCCAGAACAGTATTACAGGAGTTCCAGATCAGCACGATATCCAGGGTACATCCATATTATAGACTTATAGCATTTTGATACCATTTAACTGCTATGTTACATTCTACAAAATCTGGGGTTTACAGTGTGGTGAGATGCTTAAAATCTGGGAAATGTTGTGATATTTTCTCATGTAGGAGCTGCCCCAGTCCCATGATTGTTTTATGCTGTTCTTTTTTGCACCTTTGAATCTCACAATGGCCTGGAAAAGTGGCATCTCAGGCAAGGAATATCCTTGATGTTGTTCTCCATTTGTTAAAAACAATACAAACTTAGATTCACTATTATGAAATTATGGAAAAAACATGACTGTGAACATTATAGCTTGGAACATTTTAGGAGGTTCAGGGGTTGTTCTTCAAACCCAGCATTTCAGGTGATCACTGGCTTCTAAATGTCCATCTGACTTTATCCTTTCTTTATAATTTACACTCAGCCTTTAGAAATTACTTTTGGGGACCAGAATACCTGCAATTCCATTAGCTGAGGGATCTTGGAAGTTTTAGAAGTAACTTTTCCAAACATTGTTCAGATCTTCAGTCTTTCTACATGCTTTTTTTTTTTTTTAATCCACAGATCATGAACGCATTATGAGGGAGGCAGAGCTTGAAAAACAGAATTTTGTCAAGAAATTAGATGAGGCCTCTCATTCATTTATGAAGGAAAGTAAGTGCCATTCCATTCTGAATTGATCAGTTTGTGCTGATAAAAGATCCAGATAAACAGGTGGTCATCTAGCTCAGCATTGTCTACACTGATTGGCAGCAGATCTTTGGACAGGACCAGGCCTACCATTAAGCAAACTCAACCAGACATTGGATGTCATGTATATATGGGCATCATTATGGTGGTGCAGACTGCACTGGATGCCACCCTCTGAGGTGTCACCTGGTGCACTGGTGGGAAGGGGTTGCCTTCCAGATCCAGCAACTCTGCTGGCCAGGTGAGAAAATGAGTCTCCTCTCTCTCCCACCTGGCCAGCAGCTTTGCCAGACCTGGAAAAGGCTGAAGGGTGGCAGGAGCAGCCCACCCCCCACCAGCAGCTGCTGGTGGGAATGGGCTGCTTTCCTGATTTGGTGGCCCTGCTAGCCAAGTGGCAAAAAGAATCCCCCCACCATCCACCCACCCAGTAGCTCTGCCAGACCTAGAAAAGGCTGTTGAAGAGAGATGGGGTGGTATTAAAAAGAATATGCACTCAGTGGCATTCTTGCACTGTGTGTCACCTGGTGCAGGGAGCAGGGCTTCCAGGGGCAGTGAGCACTCCCTCCTCATGTGCCACCCCATCCTTTTCCTAATGAGGGAAAGGATGGCATGGCATGGCATGGCATGGCATGGCATGGCATGGCATGGCATGGCATGGCATGGCATGGCATGGCATGGCATGGCATGGGGGATGGGAGTGTGCATGGGGGAGCACAGGGGCAGCATGGGGGTAAAAGCGCTTGTGGGAACAGCACAGGGGGGAGTGTGGGGGAGGGCACAACCGAGTGTCACCCCCTTCTGGGATGTCACCTGGTGTGGGCTGTACCACGGCCCACACCAAGAGTCTTTCTTCAACCTACCTAAAAATGCCAGCAACTGAATTTGGAGTCATCCATATTTTGATCCCATGCTGATGAACTATGTTTTGCAGCCATACTGATGTTGGATTCAGAAGCTGTGTGACATACTCTCTGTTTTGAGTAATTTTAGTAGCTGCTCCTTTTCATGAAAGGAGTGAGAAAAACTGGAAATGCTGAAATGTTGTCTTCTGTGCCAGTCGTGGAGGCATACAAACCTTGTTCTCTGTTACAGCTGGTTCTTTCAGTTCTTGCCACATACCCTTTCAAGCCAAGGATGGGACATCTGATCTATCTGAAACAATCTGTGTACTAGTGGCTTGAGGAAGGATGGACCAGGAAATAAAGGAGTTGATGGTGCTCCAGGCAAAGATTCCAAGAAATGGAACGATGCAGAGCCTTCTCAGCTGTGGCCACAATACTGTTAAAATCAGTAGTGTCTGGTAGCTCCAATATCTCTGATGAATCCATTCTGGCTTTCCATCTGAACTTTAAAGAAACTATTGAAAGTGCTGAATTTATTTTTTTGAAGAAGGCTCACTACTTTTGGTGATTCCTTAGTTTGATCTAAAAACTTGGAGTAGATTCGCACTCTCTCAGAGGATGGCAATAGCAAAACCACTCTGAAAAATCTTCCAAGAAAACAACCCTATGATAGGGTTGCCTTAGGGTCACCTTAAGTCCGAAATGACTTGAAGGCACACAACAAAACAACAATGGACAATGACATCTTAATTCAGGCGTATAGACAACAGGACATTTTGATATTGTGCTAATATATTTAATTAGAGTATTTGTTACTGTGTAAGAGCTAAACTTGATCTTACCAGCAGACAAATGCAGTGTTACCTCAGAAAACCTTTTTAAACAGGAAAAGCTGCTTTTGAAGGGGATCTAAGAAGCAACACTTGTGTGGGCAGAATGTTTAACCCTTTCACTGCTGGCCTTTCAAGGCCTGTTTATGGATTTTAATCTACTGTGAATGTAAAATGGAACCAGATAAAAGAATAAAGGTGCCTTTGTGAGGACGGAGAGGGTTTGATGTTCTATGTTTCACCTTTCTTCCAATGAAGACATGGCTCTCCACTCTGCTCTCTTCATCTTCACAACATCCCTGTGAGGTTG